GTAGGGCGATCGATACACATGAAACTACGAGCGATATATAATATATATATATATGTATAGAGAGAAAGAAAGAGAGAGAGAAAAAGAGAGAGAGAGCGAGAGAGAGCGAGAGAGAGAAATATATATATATGTATATAGATAGATAGATATAGATATGTATATATATATATGTAGATAGGTAGATAGATAGATAGATATATGTCGGGCTGAACGACTTGTCTCCGCTTAAGATTAATAATTAGAACAAGCTAATATATACATATATAAAGATAGTCTAGAATGTCAACTATTCTACCATCTTCTATGTTACTCTATATTTTCCTTTATTATAGTAAGTGTTACTAGTAAGCGCCGAATTCCACATTCCGATATCCTCGATCAGTTTCAGAATATTATTTTTCTACGTTATTCTGTTTGATAGCGAAAGATTGTATCCTTTAGTGAGCGGAGAACTTTTATATCTCTTATGTAGCATTGATATTCTTGTTCGCGAGTGTTTAAGAAGCTCTGCAGGCTCTGGTTGGAAAATTAATACTTGTAAAACTTCGCAAGAAGAAGCGAACAAGTTCGATAAAGGATTAATCACGAGTATAGAACAATGATCATAAAAATTCCGCGGTATATAAAATTAAATGCAATTAAATTCGATTTGCAACACTTGATTTAGCCTGACCGACATTGATTCGCCTAGCCGCTGTCATCGAACTCGCCTAATAAGCAAATTTATCCGACTTTATAATTTCCCACTTTTATCGACCTCGATTGCCTCGTCAAGCACAACAGCCAAACGTTCTATTTAATAATAACTCCGGAAATTTTGATTTCGCTCTTGATTTCTAAAATTTGGTTTTAGCTGTTATCAAGATTTTGAAAATATACAATAATTGATTTTACGATATTATTCCGCATTTCTCTATTTTTATCTTAATAGCGAAATGTTTTACAACAATATAGCATTTTACGTTCAGTCGGAAACGAAATAAAGTCACGAGATCAAATTGGACAATCGGGATCAGTGATCTCGAAGCCTAAGAAAACGAACGGAGAAGGAAATTGCCGTGTGGTGCTTCCTTTTGCAGCAATTATGGGTCTGTGCGCGCGTACAGGGACCGCTTTTCGTGATCTTTTCCCCTTTTGATTGTCCGAGGGCGAAGTCCCACCACGACGAGTGGAGCTTATGAGGAAACAATGCCCTTTTCTTCTTCTCCTCCACCTTTCTCTCTCAGGTTAATATAGCGGCACACCACTGCAATGCTTAACCCGCACAAGCATGCAATTCTCAAACATCCTCTACTACCAGTCTTAAAATCACGAAGTCTTAGTCTTTTTTGAAATTTCTTTTTGATAGGTGGATAAGTGTATGCGTGTAAAAATATAAGATCAAAGAAATTAGTACACTCTTGGAGGCCTGCTTGTATCTCATATAAATAAGTGTGCGTACGTGGTTTTTATCTCTAGAAGTTATGTATGTGTGTATATATATATATATATAGAAAGGCTGACACCGCTCGAATCACATTGAAGGATTGCCTTGAACAATCATGTATAAAAGTAACTATATATTTTTTAGACAGATTTTTTTCGTTATAGAGATCTAAATGATTTATATCGTATATGAAGCGCATATTTCTGAAGAGAAAATGTTTTGAATATACTGAAACGATATACAATATATTTAAATTTTCTCGTGTTTTTATTAATTTAATTTTATCATGATTTTCAGAGTGCTGGTCTATTTCTTAAAGTGCATAAAAAAAATATTTGTGTATATACAATTAAGCAAATTATGTTTACATTATTTTGTATTTATTTAAAATTAATAATTTCTTAAAGCAAATATTACGGGATTGTTTCTTTTCCAAAGTTAAGGAAAGTTGAGAAATTAAGCTGAATAAAATAATGTCTATATAACACTTCGAAAGAATTTCCAGGAAACTAGGTCGAATATTTTTTATTCACTATAGATATCCATGTCTGATGTGAGAGAATATGTGTGGATTTGTGCATGTGTTGTATGATTGTTTCATGTCATCTGAGCAGCGATGTAATTTATCAAGTCTCTAGCAGCAAAAAATCTCGTGATGGCAAAAAGAAGAAAGAGAGAGAGAAAGAGAAAGAGAGAAAAAGACATATGTAATATATAAAACAGGTATATCGTTAGGGGTGTCCAGCTGATAGCAGTAAAAAACGAAAAAACGAAAACCAATGCCAAAAGAGCAAAGGCATGTTAGGTCTTGCGTAAAGCCGCTTTTCGCTTATTTTTTTTTTATTTACACTTGACTATCCTTTATCTACTTTTGAGCCATCGTCTCATCTCCCCCCGGTCACTCATCCACTATATATTAAATTACATCGGCGTGGCACGATTTATCACGATAAGCGATGACAAAAGGACAAATAAAGTAATTGAGAGTATTGAGACCATTAAATAAGTGGAATAATATGGCGATCTTTCAATGATAATATAATTATTGCAAAATCGTTAAAATATGTATAAGTAATTAATTTATAGTTGTTGAAAAAAATATTAAGATTATATTATTAATTTTTCTATTATGAAGTCGACGTATTATCTATTTTACTTTACTCAAAAATTTTCATTGTTTCATTTGATCCTTGTATTCTTACATAGGTATATCAGGTTTTTTTGTCAATTACACACTATATATGAATTACTTATTGCTGCTACAATTATTCTTACTACGCATGTAACTATCTTTTTAAAACACAAAATAATTTTTGAAGCAATAATTTTTAATTCTTAGAATATCTGGATTAAACATTGTTCGGTTTGAAAGCAATAAATATATATGTATCGAATCAAATACATATGTACGATATGTCGATATTGGAGCGATAAAGAAACTTAAAAGAAAATTTTGTATCAAAAAGTTCTCTCTCTATTGCGTGTGAATAACAAAATTGCTCTCTTTTGTAACTCTGAATGAAATCGTGTACACTTACATATGTTTAAAAAATTGTTACAAAGTGCAAAGTGTAATATTTCTAGAATCGCTTTCATTTTTGTGGACAGTAGTTTGACGAAAACAATATTTGTTTTTCTTTTCTGTTTTATTTTTCTATTTTAATAAGAGCGATTTTTACCCACTAAAACTATCGACAAATAAAATCAGTGCTTTAATTTTTTAATGTACTATGATTTCTGAAATTTTCGTTTAATGTTCGCAACAATGCATATATGTTCAAAAATTTTATTATGATTTAGGATTACTGAATCATGCTATACAGACAAGAAAACACTAGGTTTTTACATAATGTTAAATATTGATACGTGGAACTGCCACTAGAAAACTACTTTCACACCAAATCCGAGAGAAAGAAAGAGAAAAATAGAAAGATTCGTCATTTTTATTAAATTTATAAATATAAACGCGGCATTATGTATAAATAATTTGATTGACTTGATGGAGCATTGAGTAAATTCTAAATAAAATTCACTTTCGCACGCTTTTCTAAAGTTTTAAAGTACTTAGCCTGGCCTTGGGCTGTATATACTTGATACAACAAAATAAAATTCAACGAAACTGGTTATTCGAAATTGTAATAATCTACGCATCTCTCAAAAGAAATTTTATATGTAGTCACATACGTAACACATACACTTTCTACCAATAAAAATTGATTTTCTCTCTCCTACATTGCATTTAAAATATTTTTTAAGATACAATTTCAAACAGACATCAATCTAAATTTTTATAAATATATTATCTAAAGTAATAACATAATTGGCAAAATAAACGCTCCGATCCATCCAAGATTGGTGTGACTATCAAATGAGCTACGATGTAAAATTGATTGATAGATAGTAAAGGCCAACGATTGAGTTGGCCTTCGACAAGTGGGGCACTTTGACATAAAAAATCTTATATACAGTAGGAACAATGAACACAATTAATAATTCTAGTGAGAGGCTTCGGGGAGAGTGTCGAGACAAGTAACTCAATTATGAGTAAGTTACACGCAAAAGACAGTTTGTTTCACAGGGGAGGTACCCAGAGGTGCATCTGTCAGAGAAAACAACATTCGCCTCATGCTCGCGCCCCTCGACGATTATTTTCCACGTGTCGCTGCGCGCTTCGACCGTAATCAATATCGGAGATTGACACATGGATGTTCTCCTAATTGGATGATACGTTCGTTAATTCCGCAACTTCACTCCGCTTCATTCACACAATCCATATCGATACCGTATTAGCGAAATAGATTTTCTATGAAAGCCTTCTGCGATAATCATTGATAAAATGATACTCAAAGTATATACATATTCACACATGTGTATCGAGTGCGCAAAACGGTGATCAAAATCTCGTGCGCGTGTTTTTAAAAATTTGTGATGAAAATCTGCAAACTCCAAGGAGCGGTGCAGGAACTTGATATGGAAAAAACATAATTATCGATGATGAGAGAATTTAATAAAATTATAAAGCAAAAGCTTAAACACGTGCCATTAATCTTGATTAATGTTTTCTGGAAAAACAATATTGGGGAATCTTTTTCCAGTCGCGTTTTTCCATCAAGAACACTTGGACAAGGATTCTCGTGACTTTAATCACTTTTAAATTAATCGCGACCTCTACAACTACGTGTTTATTGCAACAAAGCGGAAATAATCGTCGAAGAAGCTATCAAGATGTCGAGCAAAGGCGTACTGAGGTTGACAATAGTCGTAGTAGTAGTGATGAATTTGGTGATGGTGAATTAAATTTCTAGCTGCTTGCATTAAGAAATGTGAATAAACGAATGAACAAATGCTGAAAACGGATCTTGAAAAAGAGAGAGAGAGAAAGAGAGAGAGAGAAAGAGAGAGAGAAAGAGAGAAAAAGAGAGGTGGATTTGAGGCTGAGATTTTAAGAGGGTTTTTTTGGGGTGTTCGTGGGGTCGACTGGTAATATATTACTGCCACTCTAGTGTATAACTGTAAGAGGTTCGGAGGAGAGTTATCTCAGGGCCATGTCGGTATCGGGGCCCGATAATCCTACCTTGAAGAGCTGTACGCCAATGACGGCGAACACGAACTGCAGGAGGCTGGTGACGAGGACTATGTTTCCGATAGTCTTTACCGCTACGATGACGCACTGTACTACGTGCTGGGTTCACAATATTAATCACAATATATAATCGCCCTTTGTGATAAAGAGGTGAAAATTACGCGCCGCATTCGTTCGTAGCGAACTTTAATACTAGCATTTTATTGCCGCCAAATTCGTGTAGCTTTTTCGAATCGCGAAAGTGGTCTTTTCGTGAAAAACCAGCAGAATCTGGGACTCAGTTAATATTCTAAAGATGTACTCGAAATGAATTTCTTAATTAAAACTAAAAGTACGTTTTTTAAATATCTTTTTGCAATATATGGAGAAATTTACGTAGATGTAATAACGTTGTATTAATTTTATATTGGCTAAGAGAAATAACGATAAATAATATATTTATGTCGACCTTGATAAACAAATTTTTGCGTAGTGATGGTTATCACGCATTGACTTTCGCGTAACAAAAATTCTTAGTATATATGTAGCGGAGACGAAATATCTTATTTCGCCCTTAACGTGATTTTTCCGAAGTTAACGATGCCCTTCCACCATTTGTATAAATAATTGCAACTTCGCGTATGCTTCAACGTCGGGCTAACGAGAGCGACTCTTTAATCTAGCTGGCTGTGGACATTACGGTATATTATGCCTGGCGTTATTATTACGTACTACGGTAGGGCGTATGCTGTGAATTGGGCGGTTTTGGCGGACTTAGAAATAGGTGAGACAAATGAAAAAGGTACCTTTAATCCCTTAGCGCGATTGATAGCACGTAGCGGCCTCAGTACACGGAGCACTCGGAGCACTTTGATGAAAGAGAATGCGCCAGCTCTGCAAGTATACAATAAATAATGGTATACTAAGTCAGTCAATAGAAAGTTAGAGGTAACAAAAAATACCTCTAAATAATCTTATAGGCAGTTAGACTTTTTTTTAACGAAACTGCTTCAGAATCTAATGACGTCATTTACAGATTCTTTTTATACAATGAAAAATTGCGATTAAAATTGTAATTAATTAAAATGTTGTAAAAGACCAGCTTTATTCTTTTTTCATACAAGATTAGATTATATCGGAATATTAATATAAAAAATAAGATCATACTTGACTGTCATAGAAACGAGAGAAGCGCAAACGACGAGAAGATCGAGCAGATTGAAAGCCGATCGGCAAAACGCGCCTTCATGGATAATGAAGCCGTATGAGATCATTTTGAGGCAGATTTCGATCGTGAAAACAGCAGTGAAGAAGTAGTCAAAGTAGTTCAATATCTGTAAATAAAGTACATATCAGTTTCGTTAGCTATCTTAAACAAATATTTCGATAGTTTCGTTAAAATTCTGATGAAACAGATATTTTAACAACTAAGAAATCAATTTGTCTTTCGGCGCAATCGGATACCAGATTTCTATCAGACGTGGTTCTCAATGGGTCTTCGGCGGCCAACATGGCAGAGGAAATCATAATGCAAATCAGTATCACGTTGCTGAAGTAACTATGATTGCAGAACCAATGGCAGAACACACGAAACCTGCAAAACGCGATTGAAAAGGAATATAATTTAGTGTGGCGTCTGGTAAAGAGACATCCGAGAAATGAAAAGATAGGGGAAGTTTGATTGAATTATTTTTTATGTTTTATCTTGGCGGCTGAAACTAAGTTCTTCAAAAAGTTTCTATACCTATTGGTGCTTGAAAAAATAAAGAATGCCGAACCAGCCGGGATTGGTTCCTTTTTGGTGGTCGTATTATACTCGGACATTCTTCGTGGTCTAGCTGTCACTTCCGGTTCCTCATCTAAAAGTAATTAAGATCCCTTATTTAGTTCTATTTATTGTTCTATTTAATTTTATTTTATTCGCTTCTGTCTTGTAGTGAGAATATCGAGAACTTGAAAAACTGTTTGCACAGTTTTCAATTATTAGTTTCTGAAACACAGAAAAATCAAGTTAACCAACCTTGCATTTCTTCTGGCTCGTCTTCCTCTTCTTCCTCTTCTTCCACTTCTTCGTCGGACTCAACGTTGAGTCGCACTTTATGCGTATTCATATCTTCACTTTTCTCTGACCTGTATAATTAGTGATAATTGCATAGATTACATTTCAAATTTACTTTTTCAAAATAGATATCTTTTTGTAGATTCGGCCTATCGTAAATTATTCAGAAATTTACGATAGAACATAGAAAAATAATTGTTAAAATAAAAGACACTACATCTTTCTCAACCTCTCATGAAATAAAAGGATAAAGTTCTTCAATTATCTTGAGAAATTAGTACTTGATAAAGACAAGTAACAATTTAATTAATACCGCTACGCTCTCTAATGAATTCGATCTGAAGACGAGAAATAAAATACATTGCAATAGTAAATTACGATCACTGCGTGTCCTTAATTGAACCGTGGTTATTGACTCTTGCGAATCCCCTTGAGCTTTGGGATCACAATAATATTGCATAAGGAGAGATAATAATGCACTCCAATCTCGTTAATGTAATAACGCACATCATTATATTACAACTTCCACTGCGTTATGAGAGAGCTTACGTTTCGGTATCGAGTGCAGCCTCGTAGTCCTCCATTGTCTCGTTAGGATCGTGTTCGAGATCTGTGCCGGCGCCCTCGTCTTCTCCACCGGTCCCCTCACCACCATCATCACCAGCTTCGCCGCTGACTTCGTCCCTTGCCGGCGAGCCGCTGCGAGATTTATTTTTCTCCTGTAGAATATATATAGAAGAAAGATTTATTTACCAAATGATTCGATCAAAGATAACAGTCGGTTGCGCAATCAATAGCGATAATCTCATACAAAAAGTATCTCAGTAAAATGCAACGCCCACAGAAGAAAATCTCTGGAGATAGAATAATATTTATTGAAATAAGATATATAGAACATTGTGTCTAAATAATAAAAATTAAGTCCTTATGTTTGATTTAACTAATGAAATTTAATTTTTAATCTTAATTATAATTTTATTGATGTAATTGATTCAATTTCTCTGCATTCCAAACATTTCACGTACAACGTATAGTCTATCTCATCTGTTAGAAAAAAAAATTGTGGAACTAATTAAAGCATTTAGTGATGAACACAAATTACATTCATGCGTTATAATACATAATGCTAAATAAAATATTTATTTTTCGGACTAATTAAATTCTCTAGCTAACATGTATAATTGTTTATACATGTAAATAATTGTTCACCAATTAATGTCATTATTGTGCAAAACTCTTCCTACGAGTTGATAACGCATTCGCAAATATTAACATGAAGTATATTACTATACACACACAAATATTTAATTGATTTTATCGTAGAGCATTTACTAAATTCTCGAGTTAATTATATCTCGTTAATGTTCCTGTGTAAGGCAAAATCATTGTTTAAACACCGAGGAAACATTTCGCAGTGTCACTTTCTACACTGCAAAAAAGATTGGCTGCTGCAGCAAATTAGATGGTAAAATATGGCATAGCATTTTTAATTGGCTGCAACAATTTTTGTTTGCAGCAGCCAATTTTTGGTTGCGTTAGCCTATCCACAAGCCTATGTCAGTATAGGATTTCGATAAGCTAACTAACGCAACCAAAATTGACTGTTGCAACCAATTAAAAATGCTATGCCATATTCAGCCAATCTTTTCTTTCAATGTATGCGTTGTAAAATCGAAAAATAAACGCAATATGAATATTGGCAGTAAAAAAAGTTCGATGCGCGAGTAAACGATAAACTTTTTTATTACAATGATTTGATTGTATAACTAGCGTTACAACGAGACTACAAACTTCTTTTATTACTTTTAAAAGTGCCGTTAGTAAACAATAACACAATGTGTGTACTCGATTCAAACATCAATTCCACACATATCATCCCATTTTATTCATTAAAAAGAGAACAAAATATTGAGAAAAATTAGATATTTCTTTACGTGTAACAATAAAAAAAAATACTTGACACGTAAAAATTAGAAAAAATAGACTTGCTGAGAAATTGTTAGTAACGCAGTGAGATACAGTATACATGACTCGTTGTATTATGAATGCAACGAAGTGTGTGTCGTACATTAAGGAACTTCACGCGATCATAATTTTCGTCGTGTAATCAACAGTTTTTCCACAATGTTGCTTGATTGTTATCCACAAGCATGATTAATCAGCTTTCGAACTTTGCCGCTGTGGTTTTAAACTACCTTACAAGTAAAATTACGTTGCTTCGCATAACTTCGTGAATTGCAACAGCTGCACATTCGACGAAGGAAACCTGACGTTACAAGTAATTTTCTGGTTTTCGAAAGTATATAACACTCGTATTAATTTGACTAGTTCCGCGTCAATATTGAGATCAATTTTAGTTTAGGATAAAATTAGAGTTCGTAATTAACGAAATTATCATTAAAGATAAATATAGGATTCTGGGACACTGTATGTTTGATTTTAGACATTATAAAGCGTCTCTTATTATGAAAAGACTACATGTGTTTCTCAGCTGAATTAATATTATTAGAACGATCAATTTCACGTGATAAAATCTTGACCGTACCAAGGAAGAAAATTAAAAGCTCTTTTTATCGCTCTTTACACGCACGGGCGTTAAAAACGCGATGTTCATTTACTCGCATTCGGAGATAGACGTCGTCTTGTCGTCATCGACCCTCAGATTTATTCGAGCGGGCTCGCATTATCTGTAATGGGCATCATAATATCCACTCTCGCAAATCCTTTGCACGCGACGTAAAGACGCGCTTCTCTTCGTAAGAGATGGTACGGCCACGCGCGAGCCTGATAATGGAAATCCCTGTTTATGGAAATCCAGAAGAAACGGCTCGTTCAAGAGTTACACGATCCTACAATTCTTACAAAAAGGCGATGACGTGTACTCGAATTTATTGCTTGCATGTTCTTTTGTGTCAAGGTCTTTCGAGAGACAGTATAATTATATTTCTTCATTAATTTAATGGAAGGATCGAAAAGTGTGTCATTTAATGAAAACGAAGTGGTATATGAAAAATATTCTAAGATATATTGTGTACGTTATTATACAAAAACAGTAGCAAAAATTATTATAAGTACAGGTTTTTGAAAGAATAAATTTTTGTTAATGTAGGACACGAGCTTTCATTGACAAAATAGGAAGAAGATAATTTTTTTTTAAAATGATATTTCAATATAAATTAAACGAATTTAACGAAGTATTATGTATATATTAAGGATATATCAAGTGTATATAGTTTCTGCAAAAAGTGGCTAGTATTGGAAATATATACTTTTCATATAAAAATAAATGTTATATACATATAAAACAGATCAATAAGGTCAATATTTATGTTTAACAATATAATTTTTAATTTTATAATTTAAACAATCATTTCCTCATTTTATTTTAATCATTTTTAGTAAACATGTCTACTTGTTACTAAAATAATTTTTAATCCAGATTCTAAATCGCTGCCAAATTTTTTATATTACTTAAAAAAAATACAATATAAAAAATCTTTAATTTTTTTTATAATTTTCTCATTTTGTTAAAAAATGAGAAAATGCGTGTAATACATCCTTAAATTCACGTTATGTCTAGTGCTCGAAATTATCGGCAATCTAGTACATTATGTATTTATGTCTTCATATTATCGTATATACTATATAGTCAAACTCACTTCCTCCTCGGCCTCCTTTTCGATGGCAGTCAGGGACTCGGCATCAGCGAGATTGTCGACGGCGATAGCCAAGAACACGTTCAAGAGGATATCTGCGTTGCTATCTTTGTCAAGGATCAATTAAAATTCATTAAATCAGACCGAATCGATATTACACTTGCGCAAGAAAGAAAGGGACGATTGTTTCATCGCTGAGTCATCTTTTTCGATAAAGGATACAATTACCGCATATGAAGAGAATAATGAAATAAACACAGGCGAGTACGCCGATACTGGCGACACCGCCATAAGCTAGAATCCCGACGTACATCACAGCGTTCCAATCCTCACCGGTTAATATCTAGAGATGCAGAGAAACCGAGCGTTATTTTTAGAACGTAGAAGGAAACTAGAGGCGCAAAAATAAGAAATTAAATCAATCTCAGAATCAAATTTCATAATGAATCAGAAATGCAATTTTTATAATATTGTGTTTGCAGCAAGCTTCCTTTTTCGTGAAATGATTAAATACCTGAAATACGGTGAGTAAACTCTGCCAAAAGCTATCAAAATTATGACGCGTCTTTTCCTCCATGTCACTGAAATTGAACTTTCCACCGAAGACCTATTCAAAGGATAAATTTCGACGAAAATAAATGAAAAAGTGTTTGTGTCATTACATCATTATTAGAGATGTGCGAGGACCCGAAAATATCGGGAACCTGATGATCGGGACGGATCGGGAAGACATCAGATCAAGTCGAGTCGGGTTTCGAAAATTTCGAGATTCTAGAAAGTATCGGGATTTTCGAAAATGTTCGGGATTCTCGAGAATCGATTCTCTCGGGGAATCCCGAACATTCTCGAGAATCCCGATTCTGTCGGGAATCTCGAAAGCTTTGGGAACTCAACCCGGTCCTGAAAAAAATTCCTGTCCCGACCCGATCTATTCTCGCACACCTCTAATCATTATAGATTCTTTGCGCTGAATCTACCTGCATGCCCAGAAGAGCGAAGATCACGATGAAAAGGAAAAGCAGGAGCAACAGCGAGGCAATCGATTGTATCGAGTTCAATAAAGAGGCCACTAAATTCGACAGTGATCTCCAATATCTGCAAACAAAAGGATAACACAACTCAAATCTTTCATCGCACACGTCACATTTATCTCTTATGTTAAAATTTAATTTATATTTCCTTCAAAGATATTGATGTGTCGTTTGTGACGTGATGTTTTGTGACGTATATGAAATATCAATGGTATTTTGCAGAGTTTGATAAACTCAATTTATGTCTGTAAGAAAATTTGGCTAATCTGTACTCACTTCGTTACTTTGAATACCCTGAGCAGCCGGACGCAACGAAGTACGGAAACGCCAAGAGGCGGCATTACACGTGTATTTGTAAGTATCATTTCGGTGATCGAACCGATTACAACGAAGCAATCGAAACGATTGAACAACGAGACGAAATAACCCTGCAAAGTAAATTACAATACCTGAAGATTAATAGATGCTTTATTTATATCTTTTAAGACAATACTACGTATCTTTTTATGTAATAAAAAATATATATATATATATTCACACCTTATTAATGTAAGATACATATCAATAATTATAAATAATAAACATTAATTGAGTAATGTAATATTAATATTAATTAATTTCATCATAATTTTGAACATCGAGCAAAATCGGGAAATGATGTAATAGTAGTCACTCACCTGAAAGCCTAAACTGTACATTTTTAATATCATCTCCATGGAGAACAGCACGATGAAAAACATGTTCGTGATTTCTAATAGCAAAAGAAGAAAAAATGCATCACTAAAGGTGCCGGAATGGATTTATAATTGAAGGCAAACAACAGTCAACATTATTTCCACCAAGTAGCGACGCGACAATATTTACCTTGAAAGTGGTCCAACCATTCCGGCTGATCGTAGTGCTCCGTGGCGAGAACACCGGTATTCAAGAAGACTAGAACTATGATGAGCCAATAGAAGACCTGGGACTTCACAGCCTTTCTACAGGCTCTTCGCATCCGCCTGTTCACTCTGCGAATATTCGTATCACAAAAAAATATGCGTGTAGTTTAAACTTCACACTCGCTCGTATACACAAACGTTTAGAGAATCTTCGAACTTCGTCAGACAAACGATGCTTTGATCTCTACTATGACTAACATTTCTCGATACGCGTAAAAGCATAACGTATTTCAGAGAAAGATCTTTCTGAAGTCTATTATTGAGTTTGTCAAAATATCTGTGACGATAACTCGCGAGGGGTTATTTATTTCTTAACACTAAAAGTACCAAGTTTCTTATTTACTAAAAGGTCTAAATGAATAAATTACATACTATGAAAATAAAGAAAGTAATGAAAAATTAAACATAAAGAACATAATTATTGAAAAGTCAACAATTTCAGAATCCTATCTTTTATACAAGAAATATAATATTAATTAAAAAAATGAAAATGCTTAATAACCATTCGATACTTCTAATGTTAAAATAGACATTTAAATGACTTTAAAGCGGTAATTTTGAGAGATAATTTTCAGTGTCGTACCTTTCTAAATCTCGTTTTTTCTTTTTGTAAATGGACTCTTGTTGGATCCCTTCCTCGTCACCCTCCAATTGGTCCGTGCTTTCTATTTCATTTTGTTGCTTAGCTATTTAATATTAAACTCAATTAATTAGCAACCTTCAACTAGGGAGGAAAAGTTATTTTATCACATAAAATTGGATTTGGTATAACAACTTCTCGAATTTATTTTATGCACTCCTATGCGCATTTGCATAAATGCACGATACGAAACGTATCGCAATTAGATAAAAGTCTATTATTATACATATCTCAAATTATTTTTATTATATTTAACTTCTGTGCTTATACAATATCGTATAAAACTTCTAAATTATTTTTAGTTATAGTAACCAAATATTGAAATTTCGGTTTAATAATTATTACTCCTTTAATAATTATTACTTATAACTTTATCTTCAGTGCACACTTTGATTTTAGAAAATTCTCTCTCCCTTTGTGCAATAAATACGTACTTTTTCCATCTTGTAACATTTTTGGCTCGTCGGTCTCTGGCTCGATGTCCTCAGCTTGCGTTATCCAATCGAGGTAACCCCTAAGATCGTCCTCGATCTGCTGTTTCTCCCTGAGTTTGTGAAAGTCGCCACGCGCCTTTGCCTTCTCTCTCTCCTTAGAAAATTCACTGCACGAAAGCAGAACAAGTGTATGTACGGTCATGTCGCGTCGTGATTAGAGATACGACGCGAGAGACGTGTAATTGGAACATTCAAAGGCAATGAAACGGAAATCGAGACGCGCGTGAAAAGGGATCTTCTTTATTTGCGCTTCTTCGATCTCACTCGAACAAGGACGAGTATGATGTAAATACGTCTTTCGTATCGGGAAACATCCAGCGAAATGCTGTCCTCCGACGTTCACGGTCTTTCTTCTTTTATGCGGCAAGTAGAACAGAATCGATCCATGCCACTAAAGATCTAATTATCCTAAGAATAACGCTTCTTGACGAACACGCGTCTTCACATAAAAAGTTTGATATCTTCCGGTATGAATTTTCATGGGCAGAGAATCCTATATGGAGCAATGCCAATTCCACAGGCCAAATATGTGGAAATTCCAAATGCCAGATTTGAGAAATAAAAATTCAAATTTGTGTGTCGGAATTTTATTAAATATACCAAACTCTAATTGCACTGCGAGCGATCTTTCATCGCACTGAGACGTCTGAAAATGTATTTACGAAATACAATAGGTCAGAAAAAACTGTATAATATGTGGCAGTAATGCACGTTAATAAAAACCTTGTACAACTATTAAATACATATAGATAATTTAATGGACGAGATTATTTGTAAAAAAAAAGTGTTCGAGGAATATGCTTCGTAGTTTCAACACAATAAAATGCATTTATATTTATCAATTGTACGGTACAATTAACATAATCGCGGTCTGGAAAATCTTGACGGTTCCCATAAAGGAGGCAGTGTCGCTGCGCTTGGCTTAGCGCGCCGAGACACTACTGTGTCTCCAGATAAATACGGCATACAAATAATAAATATAATATTAATGCATTTTAAATAAATTAAAATAGTTGTGCAAGGTTTTTGTTAAATCGATTTAATATATATATATATATATTAA